GATAGGCCAGAAGTGTCTCCATTACCACAGAGGTTCCAGTGTATACTCTGCTTCTGGATATACTGTAGCCTGGACCAGTGGAGGTTCCTGTGTAGTACTCCAGTGTCCCCATGACCTTTGTTACCATGGGTTAGATCACTGTAGTGAATCAAGCAAAATCTGATGGCACATGGCATTCCATGAAGTTAGGTCTTGAGGCCTAGCCCTCAGGTCTGGGCAGCCATCCAGCACCTGAGCACCAACCTCCCAACAGGGGAGTGGCAGGAACAACTTAGATCTGAGTATGCTCATGGGTTCTGCTATAGCCAATCCCTCCCACTGTGAGGTTTACTGCACTGATTGGCCACCACAGAACCACTGTTGCATCATGCCACTCCAGCACAGTACTATGTCACAGCAAAGCCTGGTGGAAGAAGCACATAGGTGACTCATGAGCACACCCTACTGGCGGAAAGTAATAACTAAATTTGGATACCCGAATAACACTGCTTTATTACAGGGTGTTAGGGGGTAGACCCCTACAGTATGAAAGTTCCTTTAGAAAATCTAAGCAGTGTATGGCCAGCCTTAATAAGGAGTTCTGTTAGCATGACATAACACTCTTATATTGCTCATCTGGAATACTGTGTCATTCTCATGTATATTAAATTTCCAGTGGATGACCACCCTTGGAGCAGCCTATAGAGCAGGGCTCAAAATTTCCACTCGCCCGCTCGCATTTGGCGAGTGGAAATAAAGAGATTGCAGTCGGGCCCCATTCATTCTTTTTGGCCCTGGTGCAGTCATACCTGACTGAATGTTTTTCATTTGTAGACAATATACATTCAGGATATACTAAACACAAATATCTTTAGTTTATTGATTTCTTTAATAAAAATAGCTTTTAGTACATATAAATACAATAGAGGTTTACAGCATGAAAATATCACAAAATAGATTCTATGTTATAGGTAGATGTTGAAGTTTAAAATATCAACAAATGTGTGTTTCAGCTTACTTATAACTGTATCTCAAGTTGTTTACACTGAATGTAGAAAGTTATTTTGCAATACATGGCATTTATTATATTTTTATTACTGGCATTTCAACACTTTATTAGCACCCGTTAGTAAACCTGATAGGTGTAATTTACTATTGAGTGTCAGTTTTACACATGTCATGCAAAACTGTGTTTACTTCAAAGACCCAGTCATGAAAAAATATGCCTCTTTCAATCTGCCCTATAGTAGTATCCCCAGTTAGGCCTTTGATGCTTTGCTAGTTTAAACTTACACTCCTTAAGGGTCCATTCACACCAATTGCTCTGCAATACACATGGAAAACACATGCGCTACCATAATGAGTGGAAACATGTTATGTGCATTGGCGAACTGTACTGCCATTTGTTTTAGAGGTGAGTTGGAAGACAGTGCAGGGCAGCACAATGAACAGCACCCTTTGTGGTATACTGTACTGTAAAAAAGGCTAAGAGCACCTATTTTTCATGCATTGAGGTACGTGGCTGTACTTTTATATTTCAGTGTGTCAGCATATGAAATGTCATGTGCTGCAGTGCGAGTGGACCCTTAGTAGAACATCACAAAATACTGTCATGCATTTTGGATATGCACTATTTAAACTACTATGTAAACAATATGTGGAAATGGCACTGATTATTCTTCTTAATCAATCATTGACCTTGCTGTCAGCTATGTCAAAAGCAGAGTCCAGTGTATGTTCACTCTGTCAGTGCATGACGTGCTAAGATCAGACTGACTTACGTATAGAGTGCAGTCACTGATTGATACAAGCTCTGTTATGTTTTCAAGTACATTAAAGTACAACTGAAGCCAAAACTTTTTTCTTTATAATTTTGGATAGATTAAGGGAGGGTTATAACCCCATCTGCTTTTTTGCCATCTTTGTCCCCATGGAAAGATTTTCCATCTATTCCTGTTCTGATGACAACCCAAAATATGGGATTTTCTTTCCCTTTCAGTGACCAGGACAAATGGAGAAGGTGAATCTCCCCAACGGGGACAGAAACAGCAATAAAAACCCGGCAGGTGTTCTAATCCCTCTCCACTCTATCCAAAACTAGAAACAAAGTTTTGTCTTTAGTTGCAATTTCAGTACAGTAAAGTGCACTTTTCTACATTTTATGATATGTAGCAGATAGCCTAAATTACAATTTCATGTCTATGAGTAGAATATAGGTGTACAAAAAAACCTTTGAATACACTACATTGGGTGATTTATAATATAAGGGTACATTTTGAGTTAATAACAGATATTGATGTGAAAATACTTTAAAATAGACCTTCTAATGTCCTGAATTATTCGAGCATTTTCTTATCAGACATAAGTGCTGAGGTTGTTTATAATAGTAATCCATTATAATAATCACAGTTGTTGCTCAATATGTTTGCTGTCAAATGCAAGTTTGATTATTGCAAGCTTTGTATTTGTTATCTTTGAATAATTTGTGTTAATACACAACTTATATTAAAAGTTGCTGGTATGCATTTTAAAATATTTGGCTTCTATAACATTTTTTTTTTCCAGACAGTATTTTTGTCAGAATCCAAATGACTACCTTATCCATGATGTATATAATACATTTGTTATCACTGCTTTAAAATCAGTGTTGTTCTTGATTATATAATATATTATGTAATAATAATACATTAAATCATAATTCATAATTGAGATTTGTTTACGTGGCCTCGTGTTTGCTTTTCTCCCCATACAAGTCATTGGGATTGCAGATTAGAAGCAAGTTAGAAGCACTTCCAAAGAAACTCAGAAAGATTATAGAAGCATCTCAAAACTTACCTCAAATGCAAGGTTATTGCACCTGAAAGCACGATGCGTTTTGAGAGGGGATGCATATGAAGACATATCACTCCTTAGCAGTGTGTCTACATAGCCGACTGCCGAATTTAATAAGTATTAATTCTGATACATTTTCCTATAAAGATTAGAACACAAAAATTGTTCTAAAATAAGAAAAGTAAACATAATGTTTTAAAAGAGACAGTTATTGGAATTTTACTTTATCTCTTACCTGAACCATAAAATACAGGTGAAACTCGAATAATTAGAATATCGTGCAAAAGTAATTGCAGTAAGTGCTGCAAAAGGGGCCCAAACCAAGTACTGAGTACATATGCATGCTTGTACTTTTCAGAGGTCCGATATTGTTCTATGTACAATCCTTGTTTTATTGATTGCATGTAATAATCTACTTTTTTTAGGTTGTGGATTTGGGGTTCTTGGGGTTTTCATGAGCTGTAAGCCATAATCATCACAATTATGACAAATCACGGCTTGAACTATCTTGCTTTGCATGTAATGAGTCTATCTCATATATTAGTTTCACCTTTTAAGTTGCATTAGTGAAATAAATGAACTTTGCACGATATTCTAATTATTCGAGTTTCACCTGTATATCAATTCTAATAGCAGCACATTAAAAATGGAGGTATTTGGGAATCAGAAATAAAGGTGTTAGGAACCAGCCTGCAGCCACAGTTCTACTGAAGAGCAAAATTAATGTGTTCACATTTTGAGAGAGAAATAAAATGTGCTATATTTTGTCAACACAGAATACTGAGTGAATCGAAATGCAGCATTTTTCTTGATTTACCTAATCTACAGCATTTAGTGTGACATTACAAATCCATAGTAAATGCAGTGTGCATTACATGCATTCATAACTTACTATTATATTGCATGAATGTAACCACAGCTTGATGTGACACGACAGTGTTCAAAACTCTTCAAACTTAGTGCATGTGTGTGAAGGGGGATAAAAGGGGAGAAGCAGCTTCACATGCCCAAGGCAGCATAAACAAAATAATCTGAACCCTTTAATTATCACTTGTTCAAGAAATCAAAGTATGGGAGACTACTCATCAAAATTAGTGGCTTTTCTGTTAATAGATGGGTAGGAAATGAATGCTAAAATTGATTTTTACTACTAATAAGAATAATAATTTAGAGACTGTCATCAAAGTCAAGAGAGTTTAACAACCACAGCATACTGGGCCATTGTTACTTACAGTGAAGTGACTGGCCACAGAGTGTGTGGAGGGGGGTCTATAAGTTTGCATACTTGACAGGTATTGAGACTTGCATTTGGACACCCAACCTCTGTGCTGTCATGCAAACTTCATGATAGAGGAACTTTAAATACATGTATGTCTTGTCTAAAATAATTGACATACGTTAAACAATTGTAAGTCCTTTAGTCCAATGAATCAAGTTATTCCTGGCATTTTATTAATTATAATTTATACGAGTTTATGGGTTTATACTCAATGGTACTGAGACATCAAACTCAAAGTTTCCACCAGCACAATAGTTGCTGATCTTAGCACTTACATTATCATCAAATAAAGTAGGCCTGATGCCTGCCTGATTTAGAGAGCTGTCTGTCTGTGTCAGTTAAATAATCTAGCCCAGGTTTATTGGAGGAAAAGTAGTGATGTAACTGAACAGGTGGATGGCAAGAATTTAGCTGTACTCCTGTAGAAAATCCAAATTATGTCCCAGCAACAACTGGCGTCCCTATTTGGCCTGCAATACATAAGTCTGGAGATAATAACTAGAAAGGAGGCTGGTGGCTAGAAGCACAGGTGAAAGTGTGTTATGACAACACACTTTGATGGAAGCATTGCGTGTCCAGGATCAGGTTTCATCATGTGTCGTTGGTTTAACCACCCTTGGTACCAGGCTTGGGTTTAACATGTCTTGCGCAAAAAATAGCAACAACACCAGGTGCAGCTTTCCATTCTGAGTTAGATTTCAGCCACAAAGCATCTTAAATAAAGTTGTTCCAGTGTAAAAATAAAGTGCACACTATGATGGTTTTTTTGACGTTTAGAAGTAGTGTTCATAAGCTGCATTGCTTAAATCAATGTAAACAAAAGAGTGTCAAGTGGGTATATTTAGAACAGGTCTATATTCAGTGCAAGTATTGTGCAAGCTGCTCATCTGAGTGAATGTCCACATACACCTTAAATAGACAAGTGCTTCTCCCCTTCTCTGTGCTGCAGAGAAAACACAGAGATATTAGAAGGCATGCTTCATAAGGTCACTATGTGCAAAGCATTGACACAACTACAACAAGGGAGCAAGATAGTGGGGTTGCTGTTCACTTTGCAAGATCATTTCTCACCTAGCTTATTTAAGGTATAGCAAATTGCAAAGGATACCCAATCACGTGCAAGGAAAACAAAAACAAAAATAAACTTTTTTGTTTGCAAATGATTGGAGAATGGAAGTCAGCAGAGCTTCACCTCATCCACTAAGCTCAGGGATAATTCTCTTGTAAAGTGAACAGCCTATTTACCATTAGTACATCAACACCAATGTTTCACTCCTTTATCCTTTAAATTCTTTATCTATACCATGTATTAGTAAGCCACATTTGATGTGTTAGTTCAGCCTAGATAGAATCCTCAGACCAAATATAGCAAGCATTCTCTTTAATTGCATGTATATTTCAGTTTAAGGTTACAGTAATTTATAGTACAGCTTAAATGCCCTCATCCATTAGGCACTGTGTCTACATCGTTCCTGTCATAGTACACTGTGGATGAGAATATTTGAGGCCCATGACATTTTTTTAAATGAATATAATTTGTAACACTGTATATCATGCAGTTCAAAGTATCCAAATTTTTTTTTATGTTCACAATTTTAAAACTTTCATTTGATTATTAAAAATGCTAAATGGGACAAATGTATGTAATGGTAAACAGAAAGGGTTACTACATAATTACTAGCAATATACAGTAAAATAATAGATTGCTAAAGGTTTCTATGCTATTGTAGGTTCTTCAATAATACAGTACAATATAGATTGCTGTAAGCAGAATGACTGACTGTTACTGCATCAATACTGTCACAGCAACAACTATGTACTGCTTGGCTTGTGAATAACATTCCATGCACATCAAACGTGAGTTTTAATACTTACTGTCTTCCTCTGATTGCTCAGACAGAAAGTACAGATGGGTCTGGGTGCTGAGCTGGCCACAGAGGCTCTGTACTGGTGACATGGCTGTCCATCCATGCAGTCCTCCCCTAACAGCAGGATGTTAGCTAGATGTGAAATGTAACTAGAAGCCAGCCTCAGGGTTTCTATTTTGGACAGTTTGCGGTCTGCAGGCTCTGTGGGGATTAATGTCCTGAGGGCAGTGAAGGCTGTATTCACACTGTGTGTTCTGTCTCTCTCCCGGGCATTGGCAGCTTGTCTTTGCTTGCTGACTCCAGGCAGTCTGCCCTTCCTCTTCCTTTTACCACTGATGTCCCCATTTGAACAGTTGTAGTCGCCATCATCTCCTCCACCTAGAGATTTGTCTGAGCTGTCGCTTGTGCTCTCAAGATCTTCAGCATCAGAGAGTAGGCCACCACTGCAGTCAGCAGGTTGCCCAATGCCACCACCCACACACTTCATGGCCCTGCAGTCCACTCCTGTAGCCTGTGACTCTGTCCTCATGAGCAGCACCATCCCCCGGGCTCCCATCACTTTTATGCACAGCAGGCAAACAGCACCTGTTAGTAGCGAGCAACTCCACTTGATCCACTGACACCTCAGCAAGTCATTTTTTGAATGGTTGCTCCATTTAGACTGAGCATGTGGTTGCTCCGTAAGGCAAGAAAGGTGGGGTTGGTTGAGAGTTATGAAGCCTGGGGCAATGGCACCATCCTAAGCAGTGCACCTGTTCTTGTTGTCATTTTATTTGTAACAGCTAAAGACAGAAGCCCAGCATCAAAAGAGTGAGAGGGGACAGACAGTGTGTTACCTAGCATGACAATTTTGCTACATAGGTATTAAGGTGTGTGGCATCACGCTGAACCGCTTGTTGGTTTATTTATCTCATAAGTGTACTTATTTAACTAGTGAAAAATGAATATCCGTATCATTGAATAAATTATCTTACTTGATGTGACTTTGCAGTACAAGCAAACATTTTTATAAACTATATAAAGGTAACAAATTAGCTATTTTTTTGTTAATATATGCTCATTGATCATGCCATGCATATGTGAGTCATAGTTGTACAAACCTTATATCAGCAACTGATAAGCCAGCCGATTTTACATTTTAAATCAATTCAAAGCCCTAATTTGTTTATATCGAGAGAGGTAACGTTTCCTTGTACCTGTTGCACATTATGTTTGCAGCACTCTTTTTGTGGTTTCCTGATACTTGCCTTGGTCATTGTTGGTCTGCTAATAAAAAGACAAAACTCCACAACAACAGACAGTTTTGAATCTGTTTTTATTGAATACTGATTAAGCTTATTCAGATGTATTACTTGCCTATCAGATATCAGCCTGTTTGGTAGTAAGACAATGTGATACATACTTTAAGCTGCAGCATTTGGACAGTGGGACTTCACCAGGGGATATTTCTAAAGCAACACGTGAAATGTTACATGACCCTAATCTATGGATAATACGAAAGAAATGTGTTAGCTGGCTAAGTAGCTCTAGTTTGCACTGTAGTAGGGGTCCTCAAATGTTTTAAACAAAGGGCCAGTTCACTGCTTGATACACTAATTTGGGGCCTGACTGTGGGCAATAGGAGTGGAAAACTGCATCTTTGGGCAGTGGGAGTAATAAATGTCCCAGCATCGGTATTCAATGGGAGTAAAAAATGAACCGAGGTCATTGGTCAGTGAGAGTAATAAATGCAAAACAGAAAGTATGTGGCACTTGCATTATCCTTGAGGTAGGCGGGTAGACTGATGCTAATAATCAATTCTTAATGCTGCTAAAGTTCACATGCAAGATGTTATTTCAACACAGCCGTGTCTAAGTGCTCTCCATTGTCCAGCATATACAAGGGAGAAAAAGCCAAAAAGTGCCCCAGAATTCCTTTCTTGGTGTTACATGGAAATAATATATGCCCCTGCATCAATAGTCAGTAAGAATAAAAAATGGCCCTGCTTTAGTAAGAGTAAAAGGTGAACAGGGGTCATTGGGAGCAAGATGCTCCTGCATCAGTAAGAGTAATAAATGTCCCAATGTCAGTGGAAGTAATAAAAACATTGGCCATGTTTAGAAGGAAATATCTCCAGGTCGGTCATTTAAACTTCTATATCAAAGGAAGCATTCTTATACATGCAGCAACTGATTAATTTGGTATTGTAACATTTAGTAACTGTAGATGCAACAGCATTTAAAGTAAAGAACTCTAGACAGATGCTAAATTCTATAGATGCAATAAATATACCCCAGTATCTGATATCTCAGAGTCTTCTTTCTGAATTCTCTTTCTCCTGTCTGTAGTGTGGTCCCACAACTTATGGCTGCCAGTAACACCAGGAAACGTGACAAACATTGTCTCCCCCCTGGTGTCCCCAGGACTCTCTAAAGCCTTGGCTCTCAACTGATGGGCTGCGACCCCTTGTTCAGTGGTGAAAAGTAGAAATCACCAGCACTCAATAAATATCGTTGATGTCCATTTAATTGGACCAGTCGTCACAGACAAAACCAATGTTTCGGGGCCGCACAGGGTCCCTTGATCAGGGCGGCAATGTAACATCCGTGATTGTCACTGCGAGCACCACTATTGCTGCTTGGGCCAGGGACGCTTTGAGGAGTGCAGAGGGACTCACCATCTCCCACCCCGTGTTCAGTGGGTCACGCATGCCTTCCACTTTTCTAGGTGAGATGCTCCTCTGCCTCCCCCTAGCGCTGCACTGTCAGTTCTTGCGCCAAGCAGCCATTCAAAATATGCTGCCCAGCGCTGAGTGTCAGCATGAGGTGGGATGGGATGGGGCTATGGCCACGAGGGAGCTCCATCCATCCATACTTGCATTGCTTATAGCTCCCTCACTTCACCTGTAGAGGTGCCTGGACCGGAGTGCTTTTTCCCTGAAGAAGAAGCCACTTGGTTCCGAAACATCGCTATTAATGTGAAACTATTCTAGCCAATAAAGGTATTGACTTTGCATCAAGTTGGAGTGTGAATGATTATCCATCGATTTTGTACTATTGGCGGAGGCGTCTGCGGTCGCTTTGGTACCTGCCCGAGCTTTGGGTTTGTTTCCGGTCAGGAGTGCGGTGGGAGATAAAATGGACTAACTCCTTACATTGGGTGTCACCATCAGAGTTCTCCCTTTTTTTTTTTTATTTAATGTAACGAGGCCCTCTGATGGGGGCATCTAATGTAAGAGGGCACTCTGCTTTCAGCAACTAATATAAGGGGGCACTCCGATGGCAGCAACTAATGTAAGGGGGCACTCTTATGGGGACACCTAATGTAAGAGGGCACTATGATGGGGACACCTAATGTAAGGGGGCACTCTGAAGGGGATGCCTAATGTAAGGGTGCACTCTGATGGGGAGAACTGATGTAAGGGGGCACGCTGATGGGGAGAACTGATGTAAGGGGGTACTATGATGGATTCTGTATTTTTTTCAGTAAAGCTGGCCATGATGTGGTACAACCGCATTACACTGCGCTTTGCCTATTTAACTTAATGAAATGTCACTTGTGATTTCAATAAAGTTCTAACAAAATGTTTTTTTTAAAAGCGTGATGCGCTGGGATCGATGCATCACCACTGTGTCACTGAAAACACATCAGCAGCTGTGCATTGCCTAAATGGCGGACCGTGGTGCAGACAGACCTCGGCTCGAAGAAATTTTTCATCACCGGACCTCCTTGAATTGTAATTCATTACCCTTGGTGTAGATGATCAAATTGACTAATGTTTTTATTGAATTGTAGAAGTGAGTTAGTCGAAGATTGCATATGCAGTTTCCAGTTGCTTACTTATCTTATTACATTACCTGTTTCAGAGAACACTTGGTTTTCTGCACTTGTAATCACACAGGTGTAATTTTGTCATTTGTAGGCCCACATGCTTTCTATATATTGATTATCTGTTACCAGGATAGCTTGTTAACCTAAATTATTTAACTCTGCTCTGTTACTCTAAAGGTGCCCATACACCTTACGACCATCACAAGACTATTGTCTTGCGATGGTCGTATGCTTCTTGAAAGCCCGTACCATCTGCCCACCTTGGACGGGCAGATCGTACTTGCGATCATCGAAAGCCCGCCTCGCTGGCCGATTCTCGTACGAGAATCAAGCAGTGTATGGGCACCTTAAGGCTCATACTTTTGTTGACATACTAATTGTTGACTTACTGACCAAATGGAACTTAACAATGCATAAGAAGCCAGTGTACCATGTTCATATTTCATAATTGTAAGTAAACAATCAATGGCCAAAAGAAAAAGGGTAGGGGAGAACGGCAGCAACTGTTACAGTGGTAAGACAAAAGTGGAACATTTCAGATCAGAAGAAAGAAAAGAAGATGAAGTTCAAAAATGTTAGGCACCAACAATTGGTCTGGACTGTTCTTTCTGTTTTACCAGACATTAAGGCTATTACAATAATTTGTACAGTCTCTTATAGAAGCCATTTTAAAGTAAAACTCCAATTTCGTTAAAACAAATTATAATATAGCACACCAAAACGCAGCACAAGCCATTTTGTAATTTAATGTTTATTCATTTTCAAAAATTACCTTCATATTTCAATTTTAAGCAGCTGTAACTGTTCAAATTATTCAATGCAGTATGGCAATCTGGAGACTATCTGTCTTGCTTGTATAATTGGCTCACCAGAAGTGATTGGTTTACCAGAAGATACCTTACAGGTACAATTTTATGCATTCCCTTTTTGTTAAATACTCCCTAAGGGAAGTAGGGACTTTCCTCATTAGAACACTAAAAGTGCACCAGATAGTCATAATGAACCTAGACCAGTGATGGCGAACCTTTTTGAGCCGGAGTGCCCAAACTGGATCAGTAAACCAACTTATGTATCTCAAAGTGCCAACCCTTCAATTAGACCTGAATACTCTCAGGGGGGCTCTGCAGTTCTAAAGTGGTCTGTACGGGCTCTCAGGGGGCTGTGTGGCTCTCAAGTGGGCTCTGTGGGGTTTCTGGTGGTCTGTGCAGGCTCTCAGGGGAGCTGTGCAGCTCTCAGACGGTCTATTATGGCTTTTGGGTGGGCTCTGTGGTCCCTCTGATGGTATGTATGGGCTCTCTGGGGGGCTGTGCGGCTCTCTTGGGGGCTATAAGGGTTTTCAGGTGGGCTCTCAGGTGGTCTGTTTGGGCTCTCTGGGGGGGCTGTGCGGGCTCTCAGGGGGGCGGTGTGGCTCTCGGGTGGTCTATAAGGGCTTTCATGTGGTTTATATGGGCTCTCTGTGGGGCTATTCTGCATTGCTGGATAATTATCATACAGCAATGCAGAATGCCACCAGCTATGCGGGACTACAAGTCCCAGCAATACATTATAATGAAAGTCAGCACTACACAGCAGAGGCATAACTAGAAACCTAGTCTTCCCCGCAGCAATAATAATGTATTATTGCTGCGGGGAAGGGGGGCAACTATTATCGCTGCCTGGGGGAGAATTGTTATTAGGCATGAGTTAATAAAAAAAAAAAACCCCATGCAGCAATAATAATCACCCCCTTACCCGCAGCAATAATAAATTATCCTTGGGGTAGATTAATACTGCAGCCGGGACAGAAATTACTATTAGTTATTACCGTATTTGACGGCGTATAAGACGTCCCCCCACTTTTTGTGTAAAAAATATAGGTTTTGGGCTATACTCGTCATATAAGACGAGTATAGCCCAAAATAATGTTTAAATGCACCCACTAACATCCATGACTCTCTTCTGCTGTCAGTTCAGCAGGGGAGAGAGGGAACTACTGTATAACAATATTAATTGGACTGGGTCCGCTATCGCTGCGTCCCTTGGACCTGGGCTCACGTGCCAGCAGAGGGGGCCCCACGTGCCCACTCTGGCACGCGTGCCATAGGTTCGCCACCGCTGACCTAGACCCTCCTATTCAAGAATCGAATCCCGGAAAGAACATAGAGGAACAAACAGCTATTTCTTCAGAACAGAAAATGTTATGAATCTGCCACAAACTGTTAAAACTCCTTGCAATGTACCTTGATTACCTTGAGGGAATTGTTTTTTCTTAACACATGGGGGGTGATTTACTAACCTAAACACACGCACGCACCAGGTGCGTGTGCATTTTTACACAGCAAAACGTATTTATCAACCAAACACGAGCAAGGTGTCACATTTTCACGCCGTTATGGCGCGTTTTTATGTATTTACATACGTACGCGTCATGTAGCATGCGCCATAGGCTACACGCCGCTCTAATAG